GTAATAGAAATTCTCATTGATGTGGAATCTAGAAGGTTTGGGAAGTTCCATGGGAGAGGCTTAGAAGTAGAGGAGGGTAAGTATTTCACATCAAAGAAGTCTTAAACGACAGTCAGTAAAGCCTGAGGCCTAAGGTGATAGCAAATCTGGCAAGGCAGAATCAGAGAACCCAGGACCTAGGAACTGCTGTGGTAATAGCAGTTTGCAGAACAGGAGGAGAAGTCAAAGCAGAGACCAGACCCAATAAGAATTAGGGTACTTGGGTGAGGAATGCGGAAATAAATACAGACATTAGAGTTAGAAAACACATTGGGGTAAACTAACCAATGGTGTGAGTTGTTTCCAAGCCTGATCTAGTATTGGTTTCACAAGGCTTAAATTATCTCCTGATTGAGGTTAATACTGGCCTGAGGAATGGAAGGTGGCACTGAGTGTGCAGGTGAGTCTCAAGTGGTGGCCCCAGTGGTGGTACAGAGCAGGAATTGAATCTCAGGAATGTTTGGCAGCAAATCTCATGTTTTCCTCATTGCACCCATCATGCGACTTCTCCAAGAAAGAGACATGCCCTAGCTCTGCAGATATGATCTGTCTGTTTCACTAGGCCATATGCTTCTTGGAAGTAGATACTGTGTCTTTTTATTTTATTTTTTGAAACAGGGTCTTTCTCTGTTGCCTGGGTTAGAGTGCAGTGGTGTCATCATAGTTCACTGCAACCTCAAAGTCCTGGGCTCAAGCAATTCTTTTGCTTCAGCCTCCTGGGTAGCTGGGACTACAGGAATGTACCATCATGCCTGGCATAATATTTTTATACTTTACAGAGACAGGATTTTGCTATTGCCCAGGCTGGTCTTGAACTCCTGGCTTCAAGTGATCCTCCCACGTTGGCCTCCCACCACACCTGGCTGAAGCTGTGTCTTGAGTTCCTACCAGGGCCTGGCATATGCTTGATTCATATTTGTTGAATATAAAAGAAGGCACAGATGGATGAACAAATGGAAACACAGTCTTTGTTAAGTGAGATATCTGACTTTCCCAGAGTTCAGTGAGATATCACTGTCCCAAACATTCTATACTATTTATTGTTTTTATTTCATGATATCCAAGCAAACTGCTAATTTAAAAACAGTGACTTTCCTAGTGTATTCCTACTGGAAATGAAGGATAGATGTTTTGTGGATTTAACCACTAGTCACTGTTATTTTCCTATGTCATGTATCATATTGCCATGTGGTTAGTCCCTTATGCTAGTACATGTGGGTTAGGTGAGCAGTGTCAGCTCTGAGCAGATGAGCATTTGGTCTGAGAT